TAATACATTTGCTTGAAAGTTACATGGGTTGTTGATTAACCTGATATGCTTACAGAATGGAGAAGATGGACTATGTTACAACAAGATGAGGAGATACCAGATTTCCTCTTTTTCACTCCTCGTTCTACTGCCACAGGTATTTTTAAAAGATGCAGTTTTGCAAAATCAGTATGTACTTGGCAGTATGCAAGCTTGTAAGCATGAACACAGACAGTATTCTTGAGTTGAATTCAATATCAGTTAGTTCTATTGTATCAAAACCGACCCAGGAAGAAAATACTAAAGTTAAAAATGCACAAATATGTTTTACTTCCCAACAATGTGCACTAATTCTTACTCCAGTCCCAAGCATGCAGAAATATCCAACTTGGTAGTGTTTTGGAGATTAAACTTTGCCACATTAAAGAAACTCCTTATCAAAAGGGAAAGACAATTAACATTCACTAATTGTACCCAAAGGCACTAGTTCTTAAGCAGAAGCAGTTGGCTTGAGGTTGTGACTGGTATATTCCTTTCCTCATGGAAAACACTGCTGTAGAACCCCAATCACTTGCAAAGGTTTTGTTTGCTTTAAGAATGCAAACACATTTTTCTTTCTAACCAAGACAAGGTTCAAATACTAGATGGTATATTGCAGAGAGATGGGGTGAGATGTTCACTCTGGCAGCTTGTTGTAAGCTTTCACATAAAAAGTTGTATCACATGAACGCCAGGTTAGTTGTGTATTCTAAAACACAGTTGATCAGTTTATGCTTGTCATAGCTGCCTTGTACTCATTGTAATAAACATTGTTTTAATGTTCCAGCTGTTAACTACTGAAAGATTCATCCTTGATTTTGATGAGATCAGAAGGAGTTTGTTCACACTTCCAGGATGCCATTGAGTCTGTTGGAATCTCCATGGAGTAGAATATGACTTTACGGGTAATCATTAGCATCCACTTTCAAGACGGTGTTCCTTGTTTAGCTAAGTGTCTTTTTTTTTAAAAGTGACACTTTTCTTGTCTTCATTATTCAAAACTTTTCTGAAATTTCTATAGTCTGTCAGGCTGTAGTCTCTGTGATCCTCCTTTTAATTAAAGCTCTGAATGGAACAGGATTAGGCCAATAAATGGTTCAAGTTTGTTTCACTATTTAGTTCGATAGTGGCTAATCTGATCCTCAACTCTATTTACCTGCCTTTGTTCCATATTCCTTAATACCCTCACATTAGAAATTACCTTCGGAGTAAGCTATTTGGCCTCAATTACCTTCCTGCACCATGGACTGACTACGTCAAATGGACATTTACCTCGTTGCACAGCTGTTGATGACAACCTAGGTCTCTCCCACTACTGTCTCAGAAAGTGCAGCATTAACATTAATCCTTGCATTCAGGCATGGACATTCTGGGGCATGTCTGAGTGATTTGCTGTACCTTATTGATTGTTCCGTCCCTTTGCAAACTCATGTAGTACATCTCTGCACCTGTTATTGAACCACTTCACTAGACTAAAATCTGCACTCAAATTCACAGGTTTTGTGATTGTTATGACGTGTGCATTGGTGGCAGCAGTAATATTAGTCAGTGCAAAAATCCTAGCTGTTATAAAGGTAAGCAGCTGTCATTCTTTACTGAAGTGCCAGTTAAAGAACAGCTGATGAACCCTGTCGAGAAACCTAATTTTTATCAGGATCTCCCACATAGATTCTCCACTAGGAAAAAAAAGACTTGAATGCCCTAAGTAACAGCAACATTTCCATTTTTCCTGGGGGTTTCCTGTCCAACATTAATCATTTTTCATTTCAAGGTACATTGGAGTATTGTGTACAGTTCTGCGTGCCACACTATTGGAAGGATGTGAACGCATTGGAGAGTGTGCAGAAGAGATTTACAAGATTGGTTCTAGGGATCAGATACTTCAGTTATGAGGAAAGTTTGGTGAATTTAGGACTGTTTTTCTTAGAGAGGAGAAGGCTAACAGGAGATCTGATTGAACTTTTCAAAATCATAGGGGGTCTGATCAGACTGGATAGAGAGAAATTGTTCTCACTCATAAATGGACTGAGAAACACTATTCTTCTGTGGTACCTCTGCTTGCTGGAGAACTGCACTGATTCTCTGGGAAAGTTTCCTCTGCAATGGTAGGCACAAACTTGTTCATATGTATTCTAGCCAGGATCATTCCAGCAATAGAAAGGACAGTGATCCCATGATAGTTGGAGCATTCTGACTTTCCTCCTTGTTTTTGTACAAACAGCGTCATGACGGTCCTATGGAATCCTGCCCTGCTCCCAGTTAGCACTGAAAATCTCAAGGAGCTTAGTATCATGGGCAAGGCCAGCATGCCTCATGGCTTCGGGTGCAATTCCATCAACTCAGCTGGTTCATGGAGGTCACAGTTTCATCCAGCGTTCAAAGGCCAGCAATCCAGACTGACTCTTGTTAGTGTGCTGTGTCTGGCCATCGGTGCTGCTCAGGGGGGTTTGGCTTTGATATGCTGGTCCATCGATAGAATTTACTGCTTCATAGAAACTTCTTATGTTGCCAGTATCAGTGTATAATTGAGTATTTTTTTCTGCAAGTTTGATTCACCAGTCATTTTGGATATTCCTCAGTTGACCTTGAAGGACACTGCACTTTTTGGCAGTCTGCTTTTTTTTTCTCTCCTGGCCAGTCTGGCTGAGCCAGATGAATATAATGATCTGACCTCTTTATTGCCAGCAGATTCTAGATTTCCTCACTATTTTCATCAAACTAGACCCTATTCTTCTTTGTGTTGGATCTGATTACCTCGGAAACAGCCTATATTGCATCTTTGACTATTTCCAGAAGTCTTCTGACACGCAATGAGCCATAAGGTTGGGGTCTGTAAGGTTGCTTGATACTTATCTCTATGATATGAGATTAGCAATTTCTTTGCCAATCTCTTGGTCTTAGATTTGAAATGGAGGTTCAAAGTGAATAAGCTAGTGGTTAAAACTAGGGGGGACATTTTTAAGATGAGAGGAGAAAGATTTAAAAAGGACACGGGCAACTTTTTTACATGGAGATTGATTAGTGTATGGAATGAACTGCCAGAGGAAGTGGGGGATGCAGGGACAGTTGCAATGTTTAAAATACATTTGGATAAGTACGTGAATAGGAAAGGTTTGGAGGGATACGAGCAAATACAGTCCTGATGAAGGGTCACGACCCGAAACATCGACTTTCCTGCTCCTCTGATGCTGTCTGACCTGCTGTATTCCTCCAGCTCCACACTGTATGGACTCTGACTTCAAGCATCTGCAGTTCTTGCTATCTCCTACGGGCAGGTAGGACTAGTTAAGTTTGGGAATACGATCGGCGTGGATTATTTGGACCGATGGATCTGTTTCCATGCTGCATGACTTGGTGACTCCCTGTTCTATATAACAATCAACACTGGTCATCCTGTCGAGCACTGAAATGTAGTCTATGGGCTCTGCCTGTGTTTCATGTGGTCTCGAAGTGATCTTTTTGCTGAAAGCTATTAGTTACGGACCCTTTCTTCCAGATTTCCAACAATGGATGTCCGTTTTTGGTGCAGTATGTGGACAGCCTTCTTGTTGTTCAGCAGTCATCACCTCACCTGAAGATCTGGCCCTTAAATTACTGCCCCATTTAAAGCCCGCTGAACGTTTGTGAGCCAGCGCCCTGATAAGGAACGATGGTGGAATACTGGGTCAGAGCCATGTAACTCCTTGCTCCATTTACTCTCTCCTCCTGCCAGCCCGAAAATCATGCAAACAAGTCTAAAATATGCCAGACTTCGAGGACACGTTGAAACGCAAGTTATGACGGCTGCTTCATATCATAACGAGCTATGAAAACCGATTTTACATTTTATGAATGGGTACCTCAAATCCTTTACACTTCCGGTCTTATCATTAGTTTGCAGTAGGGGGCGCAGAGGGTGGAATTCTGCCTAGATCTGCTTTTCGAGTGTGTCCACTTAAATGCTGGGTTTTTTTCAAATGTAAAACCTTTTAACAGTTATGCCGCGAAGCCTGTGGAAACCTACGGAATTTAAATAATCTGAAAATATGTTCAAGAAACAGGTGATGATTTGAAATGAAGATTCCCGTGGAAAATTCGTCGTTGATGAGATGGGTGACTTACAAAGCTAATATCTCAGATGACATTCCAAGAAAAAATAATCTCCTATGAGCTCTAACAAATGTTGTAGATTTTGGGGTCATATGCCCAGCCTGAAACAACTTCATGTTCTTGGGCATTCTATTTTCAAGAATGACCGAATCCAGAGAATCCAGTTTCACAATCTACTGCCAAAATTGTGGACTTTTTCTGAAACGTAAATGAATATTATCTCAAGAACTAGGAAATTATTCTGAAGAAGGGTCCAGACCCGAAACGTCAGCTTTCCTGCTCCTTTGATGCTGCCTGGCCTGCTGTGTTCATCCAGCTTTACACTATTATCTCAGACTCCAGCATCGGCAGTTCCTGCTACCTCTGAATTATTTTGCCTTTATGTTTTTGTTTCCTTTTGAACCTTATCATATTTATAAATGTGATTTAAATAAAAGGGGATGCAACTTCTATTATAATCAATAAATCTTTTGTTTTCTCTCGTGAAACAAGTTGATTTTACCGTTTCAGTTCAACACTTTGAATCCAGTGTTAATGAAAGGCTGCGAATGTGGTCACTCCGCCCCTCCCTCCCGGTACAGTGCGAGTACAAAGCTGTAACAATATTGAGAGTCAAATCAGAATCTCAAGCGATTAATCTTTGCACGTTACAGAGGTCCCCACCGCGGCCGCATATATAAATATATTTGCCTCTATCTGTGTTGCAGACCTGTAGTATAGAGCGGTGGTCATCCATCACATTGTACTGACAGAACTGGGCAGGCGGGGAGAGAGAGAGACAGAGACTATGGAGCCTCGATCCCAGACCTGTGCACGTCCCTAATACCTTGTGTCGGTGAGAGCAGGGTTAAATAACAAGAACGTAAGCACTCGGCTTCCTGTCTGCTGACAATCCGTGCAAAGCACAGGGCAGCTCGCTTCCTCTCTGCTTCTATTTACTCGCACGGTGCCTGCAGTTTGCTATTTCTCTTTATTCAGTGCAGGAGAGTGGGAGTGAGTGAGCGAGCGAGCAGGTGAGGCGCCACAATGTTGGACCCGTCGTCTAGTGAGGAGGAATCGGAGGAGATAGTTGAGGAAGAGAGCAAGGAGGTGCAGACTCCGGCCCCGGGCAGTCGGTTGTCCCCGAGCAGGACCAGCGAGAGCAGCGGGGGTTTACAACCGAGCAGCCGGAGCAGCAGCATCCGGCCGTCCAGCCCCAGCCCATCGGTGGTGAGTGAGAAGGAGAAAGAGGAGCTCGAGAGGCTGCAGAAAGAAGAGGAAGAGAGAAAGAGAAAGCTTCAGTTGTATGTCTTTGTGATGAGATGCATCGCCTACCCATTCAATGCCAAGCAGCCTACAGACATGGCGAGGAGGCAGCAAAAGGTAAGCCAGCCAACAAGGACAATAAAAAAATTCCTGCCTAAACACATTAGCAAGCTTTCTGGTTACAAGGGGGCTAAGTGCATCCTCTGCAACAGCTTTAACCTCGTGTAAATCAGCTGATGGCAAAAAAAAATTGCAAGCAGTTTTTGACATTGCTGATGTCTTCGCTCTGCCGAAGGAGGTGCTGGAAATTGGATCGATCTGGGTGCTTTATTTCGCTTCTCACTGCGGTAGCTGTCTTCGTCCAGTTACAGGGCGCCCAGAGGACCCAGTCTGCAGACAGACACTTTGTTGCACTTGCGCCCTTTAAATAGAGCCAATAATTAGCCGCTCAAGGTGACTTTTTAATCATGGCGGGGAAGCTAAAGACAACTTTGCGGTGGCTTTTCTATTTGAGGCTCCCCTTTCGAAATTGCAAACAGGTCCAAACTCTGCCCAGCTAACGCAAAAAAACTTAATTCCAAACGTACCACTATGAAAACGGTCTGAGAATTGTCCTTTGTTCTCAGATGTGGATATTTTATCATTGTCCAGCAGCACATACTAGCGTATCGAGTAAAACCCTGCCATAAACACACCCAAGATCGATTTGCGATGTGGTTTATTATGCTATTGTGTAGAAACACTATCCTGTTATACAAATAATCATACAGTACCTGCACTCCGATTAGAACATGGGGCGTTATCGTTCCCCAGTATTGATTACTGTCACCGCCAAGTGGCGCTGACAGTGACTATTACTCCCACTGTCAGTGGTAATACATTTCAAAATCAGCACTCGTAATAGCTTGTATTGAACTCAGAAATATTACTTAGGGCTGCTACACTATCAATTCAAGAACATCAAGTACTGATAAGAGCACTCCTTAGTTTATGGACCAGCGCTAGCCTGTCCCTGCATGCGCCGTACTAATATAGATCATTTTTACCATGCTGAGGAATGACCACCCTTCTGTATTGACTGTCCCTCCTGGCACAGTTGTCATCTGGAACCCTTCAATTTGCTTTAGATTTTGTTTTTGCAATTTAGTTTAAATCCTTAACTCTGAAAGTGGAGAAACTGAAAAGGCTGTCCTCTTGGAGGAATCCTACTGTTCCACACTTCCTTTCAGTCTAAGCATTAACTGTAAGCAGTTTTATTAGTTGCTGCTTGGGTATGCCACATTTTGTAGTATATGATTAATTATTATATAAGAAAGTACTTTTAAATGTAAAAGTACACAAGTGTGAAAGACTTGAGCAATAAATTTGTGATTTGAAAGCTGTAAATTTCAAGTTCTCAAGGCGTAATTTACTACTTTTTTGGTCAAGAAGTAACATTGATGCATGTAATATTTGCATATATCTCTCTAAGTATATTTGTGGATCTGTGTAACAAGATAATTCAAGACTTTGTTATTGCCAATTGTCATGCAGAAAGCGAGCAAATGAATCATTTATGTACACTAAAGGTAAAGTCGTCATAGTCTTAATCTTGTTAGATCATAAAGCTGCTGTCTTGTTCGAGAAAGACAACTGATGGTGGCTTAACGTCTTGGGTGAGGGGAGAGGTTGAAATGAAGGGACCTTTGTATGTCCTCAGGTGTGGGAATTGAACCCATGCTGTTGGTGTCACTCTGCGCTGTAAACCAGCCATTCAGACAACTGAGCTAACCAAAAGACTACAAGAATTCCTCTAATTAAATGATCAGAAACATTTAATTGTTGCAGTTATACATGTTACAATGTTTTATCGGAAATTAAAGGACTTGTTGAGGTTTGGTTGTAATCTATAAATGTAAGGACAGATGCGCAAAATATTCCAATGCTAAATCATTGTTTCTTTTTCATCTAATTAATTTGTGTATTAAGAATTTTAGCTCAGTGTGCAGTAGAAACCCTTGTGTTTATGGAATGCCTTCAGTACATTGAGAAAAATCCCCCAAAGTGGGTAGAAAACAAAGTGCCAACCCATTTGAGGAGATAGTGGGAGAGATGATAGAAAGTGTGGCTAAGGAAGTGGTTTTCAAGGGGATTCTTATAAAATAAATTGAGACAATGATAAGATTTTAGGGCGAAGCTTCTGGTGTGGGACCCTAGACTGTAAAGATTGGGCATCACTTACAAAGCACAGTTTTGGTAGGTACAAGAAAGGGCAGAATCGTCGGAACCAAGAGTTTGGAGTGGTGATTTGGAGCAGTTTAGAGAAGTAGGGATGGAAAAAGTCATGAAGAACTTTAAGTTCTAGAATCAGAATGTTAAATTTGAGCTGTTAGTGGATTGAGAACTTTTGCAGTTTTGTTATGGACTTGGGTCTAAATACATTTGGCAGGAATTTTGGATGGAGGTGATGGCTGGCAAGTCAGTATGAGAGTATAGGAATAGTGATAAAGAAATGGTAAGGCTTTTCACAAAATATAAACTGATGTGAGTTTGGAGTGTTGCTTTTTGTAATAAAAAGGGTTGGAATCTCAGCTTGGAGTAGGACAGATTTCTTAGGCTGCAGTCTTGATCAACCAGAAACTGTGGAAAAAAGGGAACATATGAACAGAAGTGGGCCATTTAACCCCTTGAGCCTGTCGTGCCATTCAATGAGATCTGTGGCCTAAATCTATATTCCTGCCTTTGGCCCATATCCCTTTAATATCTTTGCTTATCAAATTTTCATCTGGTATCAACTTCGGTTTTTGGAAGAGTTCCAATCCCTTGTGTGTAGAAGTGCTTCCATGAAATTACAATAGATGTTCAGGATATAAACTTTGGTACTAGGTTGACTTTGGTCATACAAATGTTTTATCATGTTTGTCCATTGTATCCATCACAGTTCTTCCATGAATGCAAAGTAACGCTGTACAAAGTTTAGATATTCTGAAACCAGTACAGTCCTTGTTTATCTGCAATATAGTTTCTTGATTAAGTGCTATGAGAAGTGGCTAATGCATCAGTTTTAAAAACAGCCACATTTAGGACTCCAGAGTGTTTGATTTTAAAACTGTGTGGCAGTTGAACTATTTATCATGTACTTATAATGAAAGGTTTTCTTTTCTGTTCACGTTTTAACGCAAAGTAGACCTTTTTGAATATAAAATTGCCAACTTTTCCACTAATAAGAGTAATCTAAATAAACTATCACTGTTTTAAACTATGCAGACCATTAAGTAATGAGTAATCTATATTCTGAAATGCAGAGTAATTTCTTCTACACCCCTATAAGTGGTGTTGTTGTTATATTTTGACAAAATGCAGTTAAGTAATACAGGTAATTGTTTATATTATCTTTTTAAGCAGATAAATCTTATCTCAATATATTCAAGGACCCAAAATATTTGCTTGGGTAATTACAGTGGCTGCAGCAGAGATTTTTCACTTTGCAGCTTTAGTGTGGGGGAAGGCATGTAGAGTAGAAACTAGCATTGGTGAGTTGAAGCCTTTAAGTGGTCATCAATTAATGGCCCGTAATTGCTGGTGTGTTGAGAAGGTTGCCCGTGTACCTTTATTGCTGGTCAGGTGAGCATTTCTCCAGGGCCAGTTCATCAATTATTTGTCCTTCTTGCTGACTCCTTGGAGGTAAAAGCTTTGCTCTCTTTTTCAACATTTATCTATTGTTTATAAAGATTCAAACCCATTGGAGCTATTTTCCTGGCAATGTGATCACATGAGCTTGGTATCCAGACAGACTTGCTACTTAGCTATCCCATTGACCTCTTCCTTTTTCTGGTTTATCCTGAATTTAAATAGATACTAAAGCTTAACTGTTTACAAAATGTGACTTTCCTAAAGCCTCCCATTGAAACTTGGAACCTAACAGTTTATCCAGAGTCATCATAGATGCACATGCCATTGTCCACAGGTCTGAACCTCTTGCACATTCCCAGTAAATTGCTGGCCTCTCTGTCCTCAAAGGCAACTAAGCCACCACGACTTGTTAGCAAACTGGATTTGGACCAAGTTTCATGACCCCATTCAATATTCCATTTGGCCTCAAATTAAGCAATCCCAAAACATAACCAGCTTATACATTTGTATTGGTTATAAACAAGATATTAAATGAGATGATGCAAAGCTTGGTAAGATAGTAAATAGTAAGTGTTTTAAAAGGAGGAAAGCAAGATAGTGAGATGCCAATGTGTAGGATGGAAGTTTGAGTTTTGCAGTAAGGCAACTGAAGACCGCAACAGGACTGGGAATGCTATAGAGGCCAGGGTTAGATAAATACAGATTACTGAGGCTGGAGGAAATCTGGAATGTTGTATTAATTTTCTTGTGGCCTACCCTCTTTATAAAGGCATAATGTTATGATCTAGAAGAGGGAGACTGAGTAACTGTTCATTCAGTTCTAATCAGTTTGTACTAACTGCAGATTTCAGTGTACTTCATGTCCTTGATGTGTGACTGTAGTCACATAATGACATTAACTTGTGAAATCCATAAATGAATCAGGGAAAATATGCAACCCATTGCAACTGAGTATGATCTCAAATTGAGTATACCACAAAATTTGTATGAAACTTGAAATACGGCAGTTATGTTAAATTAAAAAAATTCAGAGAAGGCACAGGCATTTTATTAATAGGCAGATGAACATTAGAAAAGCCAAAGGAAATTTTATCAAAATTACAGTCAATCATTATGAACAATGCGCTCACATAAGAGTATCAGTTCAGCTCTGAAAAAAGCAAGAAAAATGCATATTTTTATCAAATTTTACCAGAACCTGTGGATCTCTCACTTACGTTTTTGATTCTTAAGGGTGTTGCTACTTTACATCTCTCAACAGAACTGTGTCCAACTGCCCACACTTCACAAATGCTTTCCATGGTAGTCCAAAACAATTTTTAGAACTGTATTTGTTCAATCAATGAATGGTGGCAGACATTCAAACAAAATATCCCCATCCTCAGTGATGATGGGCCCAGCACATTGGTGCAAAAGATAAAGCTGAAACATTCGTATCCATTCATCAGCCAGAAGTACCGCATGAATGATCCACCTTTGCTTCCTCTTGAGGTCCCCAGAGTCAC